GCCGCCGGTGGCGGCGCGCCGCCCGCCGCGGGCCCGAGCTGCGCTCTGAAGGCCGGCAAGACGGCGGGCGGCGCAGGCGAGGTGGTGCGCTGTCTGTCCGAGCAAAGCGTGGCCATCTCGCGCTGCGCCGGCGGTGCCGGGGCGCGCCTGCCCGCTCTGCTCGACGAGCAGCAGGTGAACGTGCTGCTCTACGACATGAACGGCTGCTACTCGCGCCTCAAGGAGTTGGTTCCCACCCTGCCCCAGAACCGCAAGGTGAGCAAGGTGGAGATCCTCCAGCACGTCATCGACTACATCAGGGACCTGCAGTTGGAGCTGAACTCCGAGTCCGAGGTCGGCACCACCGGGAGCCGAGGGCTGCCGGTCCGGGCTCCGCTTAGCACTCTCAACGGCGAGATCAGCGCCCTGGCGGCCGAGGTGAGGTTTGAATTGGAGCACTAGATCGTTCTACCGATGTGGGAGACACTGAGGCCAGGGAGGGCGGGTGTTGCACTGTGTCCTTGGACATATTTTCGGGCACCTGGCTGTGCAGGAATGCGCAAGGAGGTCAGAAGAAAGCGCTCTTCCATCGTGTCTCCTGGACAGGGGGCGGGGGGGCCGTAGCGCTTGCAGCCTTATCTCACCTCTACTCTTCTCTCTTTTCGCAGGCGGCTTGTGTTCCAGCGGACGATCGCATCTTGTGTCGCTGAGGCTCCGCTCTCAGGGACCGGCGGGCCCCAGTCTTCCAGGGGGCAAAGAGGAATATGTGTTCTTTGGACCCCCGAGGCGCCTCGCCCGAGCTGGGGGAAAGCGAGATAGATACGGCGGGGCCTGGGCCCTTGCTGGATCCGGCCGAGGGTTGGGGGGCCGTCTGGAGAGGACGACCCTCGTGCCACATACCAGCCACCAGAGACTGAGGGGGGAGAGGGGTCCCCCTATGTGTTTCTATTTTTTGAAAAACAGACATTTTAAAAAATGGTCACGTTTGGTGCTTCTCAGATTTCTGAGGAAATTGCTTTGTATTGTATATTACAATGATCACTGACTGAGAATATTGTTTTACAATAGTTCTGTGGGGCTGTTTCTTTATTGTTGTTGTTGTTGTTATTAAACAAATACTTTTGATGGTGAAAAAGTTGCAGTGACTTCTTGACTTGAAGAGGAGAGCCGTGGGCTGAGGATTGACCTCTGACCTTCATCCCAGCTGGTGCTGGGAGGAGGGGGACTGGAGGGCCACATCTGGACGGTCACTCTTAGCGCCCTGAATGAGTGTTTCCGGTGTCTTTAAAGTCTATTCTTCCTTCTGTCCCTGGCCATTTCCCTGCTCCCCAGTGTCATAAAATTAAATCCTCTAGACCTCTAGGGTTTCTCAAAGTGGTCATTGGGCCATCTGGATCACCTGGGGAGGTTGTTAAAATGCAAATGAACCTGCCAAGGCTCCCTCTGGGCTGGAGAGCACTGAACCACCATTTAGATTGGAGAACACCTGCTTCCTCACCAAGGTAGGGGAAGTGAGACCCCCTGAGGAGGGACTTACCCAGGGTCATGGCTTTGAGGCTGTGTTCGTCTTGCCCCATTGCCTAGTGGGAGGTGCCTCCATGGGCCACCTCCTTGGATCTCAGCAGGCTGCCCTGGGGCGCTTCACTTGTCCAAGTGGGTGAGCAAGTTGGCAGGGCCGGGCTGGGCACAGCTGCTAGGCCACCTGCTCTGGGTCTGGACTCAGCCCCCTCACCCTGGCCTGGCTGCCAGCAGCTCAGATCTCTTCCCTGGGGCTCCTGTGTGGGCTCTGGAGGAATGGGTGGGTCAAAACCCCAGCCTCTGCCTGGACACAAATGTGGGCTTGTAGCATGGTGGGTGCACGGAGAGCCTGTGTGAGGCCAGTGGTCATCCCCGCACCATAGGGCTAGGTCATGTCTTAGTGAGCAGGCCTGGGGTGTAAATGAGGATACACCCTGGGAGTGTGTGTCGCAGGGCAAATGAGAGCACGCATTCTGCAGATAAGTGTGCAACCTCCATCTGCCTGGGCCTGAGCGGGCGTTTGGTCTAAATGCATCATGGGCATCTCTCCACAGGTCTGGGTTGATGGAGGGGGCCAGAGAGACACGCAGGGTTTCTGTGTGTCATTGACCTGCAGATGGAAAAATGTATCAGTGCCCTGCAGATGGGTTGTCCTTCCTGGGTTTCCTCAACTCTGGGGACGGGGTCACTGTCCTTGAGCAAACCTTCTCAAGTCCAGGACCAATCCCTGAGCAACTGGGGACAGGAGCCCTCAAGTATCCCTGCCAGGTCCTGAGTCCTAGGGGTAAGGACTATTAATAGCAGCTTGTCAACGAACCAAATGAAATAAAGAGCACCTAGTATCAGGAACCTACGCCCCACCCCGTGCGGGAAGAATTTCAGGGATCCCTGTGGGACTAGAGGCAGAATTGGAAACCCTACTTTACAAGGCAGCAGGCAGCAGTTCGCAGAAGGTGAGCAACAACGATAAGAATGAAAATGAAAGACGACCTACTGAGCATCAACAGGCCAGGTACCACCTCCTCCTGAAGCATTTCTGGGCTTTCTCAAAAGGACATGTTTGTGTAGATGAATCATGTCCTTTGCGACCCCCTCCACACCCAGCTGCTGTTTTGCCTTACCAACCTCACAGAACCGTGCAGAATAGAAGAAATCAAACCCATAGCACAGGGCCTGGCACGCAGAGCCTGAGAGTGACAAATTCTTCTTCACTGTCTTCCGTGCGGCCTTGGAGGGTCCTCCGAGGCACACGTGTGCACCCACTGCCTCCCACGTGTGGGCCCCCGCCTAAAAGCCCACCCACGGGGCCATGGGCGTGTCCCTGCGCACACTGCTACTCGGCAGGGCTGTCTTCCAGGGGAGGAAGGGGCTGCGGCGGCGGCGGCCACCTCCCCCGCCATTCAGGCACTCGATTCCACGTTTCCCTCCTTTCCCCTTTGGCCCGGGCCCAGCCCATCTGGAGGCCGGCTCCGCGGCGGCCTGGGAGCGTTTCCATCAGCTGGGCTCGAGGAATGCGGAGCTATTTAACCTGAGCATCCCCAGGTGTACGGAGGCGCCTGGCTGTCTGGGGCCCGCCGTCTTTGGCACGGCCGCGCTACACAAACAGCGCGCCGCCCCCGCCCTGCCCCTCCGCCCGCAGCTGCAGCCGGGCCTGGGAACGGGCGGGCGCCGGCGGCTTGCATAAGAGGCTCCCGGCCTCGCAGAGGGAGGGAGGGGGACAGAGGGTGTGTGTGTGTGTGTGTGTGCTGTGTGTGACAGTGTGCTCTGTGTGTGACAGTGTGCTCTGTGTGACAGGGTGCTCTGTGTGTGACAGTGTGCTCTGTGTGTGACAGCGTGTCACAAAACCTTGCTCCTTTGAAAATCATTAACGTCTTAACCCCTCCTGGACAGGGCGCAGCCTGGCTCGGATGGAAAACACCAAGACAAGGTTTTTTGAGAACTGGACTCAGGGTCGTGGGCCCTAGACCTGAAGTGCTTTTTGTTTTATTTAACAACTGTGCGCAATTTTTTAACTTTTTTTTTTTTAATTTGCTATAGGGTGCATGTGTTGGCCAGAAAGAGACAGAGACAGAAAATAAGTGAGAAAGCACCCCCAGGGGAAAAGGGGAGGGCACACCACAATCCCTTCTCCCCTCAAGATTTTGGGCAGGTACATGCACACCGTGTTTTTCAAGCTACTGGGTCTGGGACTAGAACCCTGTAGTAGGCCACCTTAACTACTACTTCGCTGGCTGGTCCCATATGTGCATTTTAATAACATTAACAATCAGAATAATGAGGGCCAGTCGCTGGTGTGGAGGTTGAGGTGCTGGTTCCACATGGCCCACTGAGCGGGTTCCAGTCCTGATCGTGGCTGCCTGAAAATCACAGCTGCCAGGCCTGCATGCGTGCCCAAAATCCCGAGAGGAGAATGGAGGAGGGGTTGTGGCAGGTTGATCCCTTCAGAGGGTGATTTCTCTCCCTCTCTCCTTCTCTCCCAGCTAGCACACCTGTCCTATAGCAAATTAAGTAAATAAAAATTGGGGGAAAAAAGGGACCAGCAGATGGCATGGTAGTTACATTGCGGGGCTCCCATGTAGTTGATCCTGGTTGGCGTCCAGGACCCAATGACTTGAAACTCAAGTCAGGCATGTGTGCTTACTTGCATGCCCGACATGGCGAGAGGAGAATAGAGAAGGGATTGTGGGAGTACCATACCCACCCTTCTTTCTGTTTCTCTCTCTCCTGTGAATTCATGCACCCTAGAGCAAAAAAATCTGTTTTAAAAAAGATCAAGTCGGAGCCAGCAGGTGACGAGGTGGTTAAGGGTGCTGGACTCTCACATGGCTGCCCGCAGTTCAAGCCCCAGACCTGGCAGCTTGCTTTCTGACTCTCTCTCGCTCTCACTGTGTCCCTCTCAGGTCAAATTAAAAATAAATAAATAAATAAATAAGTAAGTAAATAAAGTTAAATAAAATAATTCTTTTTTTTGAGAGAGAGATTTTTGCTATAGGGCACGTGCGCTTGCCAGAAAGACAGAGAGACAGATTCTCCTCCATTCTCCTCTCGGGATCTTGGGCATGCACATGTGCCTGGCATGAGTTTAAGCCACCAGGTCTGGGCCTCGAACCCCAGTCGACTACAACAGAGCCATTACCCCGCCCGGCGTGAGTTTTAAGCCCCCGGATCCGGGACGCAAACCGTGGTCGATTACATGGGAGTCCAGCAACATAGCCATTACACTAACTGCTGGTTCCCAAATAAAATAATTCTTAAAAAAATATCAAGTCAGGACCAGCAGGTGTCAATGGTAGTTAAGGTGTTGGACACTCCCACATGGTTGACCACAGTTTGAATCCTGGACCTGGTGGCTTACTTTCTCACTTTTCCTCTCTCTCTCAAATTAAAATAAATGAATGAAGAAATAAAATTAAAATAAATATATATTTTTAAAAGTGAATTTGTACCCAAAAAGCTAAGCACCAGGGGGCTGGCAGGTGGCATGGTTGATAAAGTGTTGGATTTCCACATGGCCAACCACAGTTCAAATCCTCCAACCAGTGGCTTGATCTCATCAGGGATCGAAGTGTCACAGTGTGGCCGTTTCCTACCCCTCCTCCCTCCCCCCTCCCCGTGGTGATTTCTCATTCCCTGTGGCAAAAACAAAACTCTAGGGACAAAACCTTGGCTTGGGCTGGCAGGTGGCATGGTAGTCAAAGGTGCTACATTCACCCATGGCTGACACCATTCACGTCCCGGACCTAATGGCTTCCTTTCTCCCTTTCCCTTTCTTTCTTTCCCTTTCACTCTCTGCCTCTCTTTGGTCAAATTTAAAAATAATAGCACATGGAAGTAGTAAGTAATTCCTTAAAAACAAGAGAGCTTAGCAGCTAGATCCTTAGTAAATGTTGCCAAAGAATGTTTTTTGAGCCCTAACTAAGGGGACTGTCCTACAGCCAACAGCCCTGTCAGATGTGCGGTACAACTGCTGTTACTCCTTTTCAGGTGAGAAAAGGGACGTATGGGGAGGTGACCCACTCTAATGGCAAAACAAATCTGCTCTCAGGCCACAGTGACCAACACTTGAGACTTCTGTGACCAAGTGTCAGGGTAGGGAGGACCTCACACACCAAGCCAGCAGTTTTGCAGTGGATACCAGTTGAGGATCTTCTAGTTCAATTTAACTGTGACACTTCTTTTTTTAAGCTTTTTAAAAATAATTATTTCATTCAACTTTATCCATTTTTTGTAAATAATTATTTTATTTAACTTTATTATTTATTTACTTACTTTTTTTTTTGGAGAGGTTTTTGTTTTGTTGGTTTTGTTTTGTTTTGTTTTGTTTTGTTTTGCTATAGGGCTCGTGCACTCACCAGACAGAGACAGACAGAGAGACAGAAAGCGAGAAATCACCCCCCAGGGGGGATGGCCATGCCACAATCCCTTCTCCTCCATTCTCCTCTCAGAATCTTGGGCACACGTGCACACATGCCCGGCGTGAGTTTTAAGCCACCAGGTCCAGGATGCGAACCTCGATCGACTACATGGGAGTCCAGCGACATAACCATTATGCTAACTGCTGGTCCCTTTACTTACTTATTTTAATTAGACCAGAGAGGGACACAGCTAAGG